GTGTGTGTGTGTGTGTGTGTGTGTGTGTGTGTGTGTGTGTGTGTGTGTGTGTGTGTGTGTGTGTGTGCTGTCTCCTGCTCAAACATTTCAGTGTAAACAACTGATTAAAAAAAACACTGACGCACTCGTTTCCTCTCGTCTGTTCATCAAGAGAGGAAACGACGGCTCGTTGTTTTCTGAAGACCAGCTTTCACTGCGCACCGTCACTATGCTGGAACTGACCCACCTGCAAACACCATGCTTGTTGCAATCCTCTACCTGATGAATTAGCACGAGGTGCAGGGTATGCTTTTTATACAGTGTCTCGTTTAGCCAAGGATTAGCTGCATGTTTGATGCTTTGTGACCTGCAAAACTAACGACATCTTAATAATAATAAATAATAATAATAATACATTTTATTTAAAAGCGTCTTTCAAAACACCCAAGGACACTGTACAGAACAAACAATACAGCCATAAAAACAGGAAATAAACACAATAATAAAAAAAATGTCTACGAGCATGGAGAAGTTATATAGAGAAGGCTATCTTGAACAGGTGGGCTTTGAAGGTGGACTTGAAAAGAGGGAATGAACTGATGTTTCTGAGGTCGGGGCATAGGGAATTCCAAAGTCGAGGGGCAGAGCGACTAAAAGCCCTGCCTCCCATGGTGAAAGGAAGACGAAAGGAAGGAACAGAAAGAAAAAGAGAAAAGGAGGATCTGAGGCACCGGGATGGGATGGAGATCTGTACCAAATCAGAGAGGTATGGTATGAATAGCCTTATAATAGACTATAAAGGAGTATTTTAAAATTAATGCAAAGTTTAACCGCTAGCCAGTGAAGCTGATTCAGGATAGGGGTGATGGTGGGTAGGGGGAGTCCTAGCAGCAGAGCTCTAATCCTGCAGGGATGATGGAATGTGTGTGAGTTTGGGGTATCACGCTTGGTAAACATGTGTTACCATCCTGCAAGGATTCGCTGTGTACCGGCTGATATGAAAACCAGATTTACAAAATATGTAGACGATAAGGAGAATCAGCACCTCCAAATCCGAGGCCATGGTCCTCAGCTGGAAAGGAGTGGAGTGCCCACTCTGGGTTAGGAATGGGTTCCTACCCGGAGTGGAGGAGTTTAAGTATCTCAGGGTTTTGTTGAGTGCGGGAGAAGGGAGCGGGACGCTGACAGACTGATTGGTGACGTGGACGCTGTGCTGGTCCACTGTGGTGAAGAGAGAGCTCAGTGTAAAAGCAAAGTTCTCAATTTACCAGTTAATCTGCGTCCCCACCCTCACCTACAGTTTGAGCTGTGGATGGTGACTGAAAGAACGAGATTGCGGATACAAGCGGCAGAAATGAGCTTCCTCTGAAGGGTTTCTGGCCTCTGCCTTAGAGATGGGGACTCGGGATAGAGCAGCTGCTGCTCCACATCGAAAGGAGCCAGTTGAGGTGGTTCGGGCATCTGACAAGGATGCCTCCTGGGCGCCTCCTGGGTGAGGTGTTCCAGGCATGTCCCACCGGGAGGAGGCCCCGGGGCAGACCCAGGACATGCTGGAGAGATTATATCTCTCGGCTGGCCTGGGAACACCTTGGTATTCCCCCGGATAAGCTGGAGGAGGTGGCTGAGGAAAGGGAGGTCTGGGCTTCTCTGTTTATGCTGCTGCCCCCACTACCCCACCCCGGATAAGTGGAAGAAGATGGATGGATGGACGGACGGACGGACACCACCAACATAGCATTCGAATGCAAAGCAAGGAGATCTGCTCGTTAACTAACCTCCTTTAATTGGCCTGTAATTAGTATTTTGAGGCCATAACAGACGTCGGTCAGCCAGGACAAACTGACACCAGGTGCAGCTACTTGTGGTTGTATAGACAGCTTAAAGATAACTGTGTTTCTCCGAGCATTGTCAGCAGGAAATAGACATAGCTGTGGATGGGAAGGATCAAGCCAGTTTTGAAGATGCTCTGTGTGCAGGTAGATTCAACTTTATTTATTTATTTATTCTTTATTTAGACAGACTATTAACCCGTCATTGCTTTAAAGTCACCAATAAGACAAACAGGTACAATAAATGTAGCCTGAATATTTACATAGTCTGAAATAATGTATTATAGAAGGATGCTGCTGTTTCTTTGATGTGGTAACAACATAGTGTCATATTTGTCATGCAGGCTGTTATTCACGAGGTCCGGAGGATAGCTAATAGTGCTCCCCTCAGCATTTTTCACCGCACTACTAAAGACACTGAGTTAATGGCGTACTCGATAGCCAAGCTACATTTGAGAAAATGTTACTGCTGTGCTAAACAGCTGAGAGAAAAGTGAGGGCAGCAGTTATCGTTTTTACAGTAACGTATATTTACAGCATTGGAAAATGTATGAAAGCATATGTGAGGTGATGAGGGTCATCTTTGTATTCTTTAGGGAACCTTCGTCATCCCCAACCTGTCATCGGTGCTTTTTGAGGAGGGGCAGTGGAAACTGACCCTGAAAACTTCCTCAGTGTCAGTGGAGGGTTTGTTAGACCAGAAGCCTTCATGCTTTCTGTGCTGCTGCACAAAAGATGTCAAATGGTCTCTCTGGTTCTTACTAACCACCAGAAAATTACAGGCTACCCTTCAGTATCCTTCAGTTTCACAAAATGCTACGTGTGGGTTTTTTGCGAGGTTGTTGGTTTGAAGTTGAAATAAACAATAGCTAATAGTTGTTGAGCATTAACAAATTTATCTTTTACATCCTCAACACGAAAGGCAGACATGGTCACTAAGATGTCTTCTATTAGTTTGCACTTTTTGTTTTTTGGAGGTTTTGGAGATAACAGTTACCAAATATAGTCAAGACCTTTGACCTGTGACTGATCAGTTAATGAGTCTGTTCTTTATTCTACAAACTCAGATACAAAACGAAGATAAAACTACCATTTATATGTGGACAGGAGGATGGAGGGCTAAGCTATCCACTGAGGCTAGCAGTCTGGGTAGGAAGCTGCATCCATAAACTGTATGTGTGCAACCCACACACACATAACAACTTCTAAGTTTAGCAGGAAGCTGTTAACTACACTTGTGTCAGCAGTTTCTGACACTTTTGTGTAGGCTTCATATTTCTGCCCTGGACATTACTGCTTGGTCAACATTATAGTTTAGAGGTGAATGATTGGCTCCTCCGGGGAGCCGGAGCGTGCTTCCTCATTAGTCAAACGGGAATCTGCTGGTGAACTGCTAATACGTTTTTGTGTACTTTTAAAAATGTGGCCTGATTTTGGAACTTAACGACAGAAGGACTTAATCTCTTGAGATGAAACCCGCAGTGATAGATATCTGACACGAGTCATCATTCGTTTGTGATTCACTCAGATGATTAAAAAGTTGGTCTGTTGCTGTGGTTTTACTGTACAAGAGTTACATGTGTACTTAATAATGACACAAAGATATTTAAGATATGCTCACAAATGAATCAATTCTGTCTTTTCTGGCTGACATAAAGGCACACTGCACGCTGTTCACTTTTACCAGTAGCCTTTTGATGGTAGGACAGCGCTGTGTTATTGAAGCTTTTGTGTGGATGCTGTATTGTTTGACTGGGCGGGAGGCCGGGGTGGGGGGCGGGATTGTGCATGTGTGTGTGTGCTGACATGGACCTTCTGTGATGGCTTTCAGCTGGATGGATGATGCGGTACTGAGGACAGTGAGAGGAGAGTGGAAGAGAAAAACAGGGTGAAGGAAGATTTTAAAAACACTCATTAAACAAACGAAGCACGCGGCGAGACGCACGGCTGACTGAGATGGACTCGAAGACACTGAGACAAACTTGGGATTATCAGTAAGGGATCATCAGAAGAGGAGTTTCTCAAACATGGACTAGTCTGGGAGCGTGCACATATATAGACAAACACATACTCACCCTCATACATTCGCACACTCTGTTCCCTCGTGAGAGGCCTTGGAAGCGGACAGGTGCCATTATGCAGGAGTCTCCAGGTGCGGTTGGTGTGGATGGCAGCTACACTAGTAATGTTCCAGCCTTTCTAACTAAGCTGTGGACCCTGGTTGAGGACCCAGACACCAACCACCTTATCTGCTGGAGTGCCGTGAGTCACATCTACATTAATATTAATGGTTACTACTTAATATTCATTTTTAGTACAGTATATATAAGAAGTGAATCAAATCAAATCACTTTTATTGTCACATCACATGTGCAGGTACATTGGTACAGCACATGTGAGTGAAATTCTTGTGTGCGAGCTTCACAAGCAAC